CGTAATATTTATCTAAATTTCTAATAAAATAATAATTATCTCTGAAACTCCTTGTCCAACAGGGAGAAAAAAATTGCAAGCTTGTCCAACGAGATCGAGTCTCCGCCACAGTAACATCTATTTTGGAGTTAGAAGAGCTGATTATTAATGCTATTACTGAAATATCACAATGGCTTGAAAGAAATATTTCCTCAGAAGAAAGAAAATTATTGGATTCAATACTTATTCCAAATTTTTTTTCTCATTAGAATGTATTATTTAATTATACAACTATTTTATGTAATACTTTTAAAAACATAACATTGACTTGATTAAGAAGATGAGAATAGCGGAGAGCATTTTATTAGAACTCAAGGAAATAGAGCTAGTGTTGTTGAAGAATTTCAAATTTTATATGTTATTGTTGAGTCAAAAGCAGAGCTATACGTGTTAAATATTTGTCCCCCTCGACTTGCAGCAAGCAAGCTCATCATCAAAACATTAATATAGGATCAGTAGAAGAGTATTATAAAACAAATGTCCCCTCTCCCAACCTTTTTCATATGGTGATAGAAAAAAAATATAAATATTTGTTATATTTTTATCATGAAGATGTTAAAATATCTTATGATGCCTTATTAGCTGAATAACTATGATTAAAAGATTAACTATGGTTGATACAGTCCCAAAAAATGCTATGGATGCTTTTTATTTCAAACACATTTTAGATTATACTCCCAATTATTAAAATGGTTATATATATATTAGCAGCTCTTTAGTAAACTAATGAGAGAACATTCACTTTTTTAAGAAGAATAACAGAGCCTTGCAGAGGTACCATTTGCAGGACCAGGCCCAGATTTTATTTTAAAATTTTTTCCGGCCCGGCCCGGTTGGCTTAGCCCGAATTTTTTTAAATAAATTATATTTATTTTTGATATTTATAGCTAATAATGGCGATTTCAAATATTTGGTTTTAAAATATACAACTCGGCTCGGATATTTTTTCTTAAAAATTTTCAGGCCCAGCCCGGGTGTTTTTTAAAAAAAAATTACGAGCCCGGCCCGGGTATATTTAAAAAAATTAAAATACGGTCCGGCTCAGGGGCCGGGCCTGCAAGTCTGTGAAAAACATACCTATGAAATACAACATCTGAAAGTAGATTGAATGATTTGGATCTTTTGAATATTCATAGACATTTAACGCCAAGCAAGGATTGATAATTGAAAAATTAGCTCAAAACATACAAAATACAATTATTCCTAAGAAACTTTTTGTGTATTAATTTATATTTACAACATTTAAATTTTTTATACTTTATATATTTTAAAAGCTCAAAAAATTCAAATTTCAATTTTGGGTCATTTAGGTGATTCATATCGTGGGTTATATTCACTTTATATTTTATGATTCACATTTAAATGCCGGTTTATATATATAATTTTTTTAATTCACATTAGTTTAAAATTGTGTATTAGAAAAGTTATTAATCCTAATAAATTTATGCTTAGTATTTTTAATTAAAAATATTAATTTATTATAAAAACTTCTCCCCCCCCCCCAGACCAAATTCCTGCGTACGCGCCTGGATCACAAGCAAGACTTGGAAATAGCTAAAATTTTAAAATTTTTCATTAACATGGTTAATAATCTTTTTAAAAATCCGAGACTAGGCCGATTTCTAGTAGCCTAGGTCTTGGAAAGCCAGAAACATGCTATAATATTTTATATGGGAAAAAAAACTCGGAAATAATCAATTTTTTACAAGGCTTCGAAGTTCCAATCTTTTAATGCAATTTAGGAATTTTTCAAAGTTTATTGTAAAAAGGGTGGCAAACACGATAATTATAAACACGTGGAGGCATTTTCCCAAATGGTAAATTTATCAATATTTATTTAATTTGATCAAATGACCAGGCTAGGACCGAATTTAGTTTTCGCCCTGCCCGTCCAAATTTATACCCAGTCCGGTTCCAATTTTTTTTAATAAGGTTGCCCGGCCCAGTTTTTTATAATCCGAAATTATATCTTATGGAGAAATAACACTAATTACGATGAGGATTTAGATTTATATAATCATTAAAATTATATGCAAAATAAAAAATGTTATTTTAAAAAAATTAGGCTTTTGGAATAATTTTTTATACCTACAAAGTGCGCTGCTGGGGGCATTCTAATTTTTGTCTGTCCAGCCGGTTCATTAATTTTTTGCCCAAATAAAAAAATCAGACGTTAACCGGAGCCGAGCCGGGCATTGCAAATCTCTAATTCGTATTAAAACCTATAAATTTAAAAAAAAATAACCCACTCTCAAAATTTATAGATTTTCATTTTAAATATATATTTTCCCCAAAAATACATTTTTATATTAACAGATATTTAATCACTATTCTTTTTTAAATTAAAAAATTAATTTTATTATATTTAAAAAACTGTTTCTGAAAATTATTTTTAAAAAAGATTATATAATAATTATTAATTGCCTTTTAGCAATGCAGTTTATAAAGTATTTAGTCATACCCATCTCAGTAGGGTCTTTCCTCTAAAGAGCTTTTTCCAAAATCATTGCTTCACGTATCAAGGAATCTCTTTCCTTATTTCTTTCGCCACTCCAATTAGAATTTGACGTTCCTGGTGGTGTAGAAATTTAATTCTGATTTTCATATTGATTTAGTTATCATAAAATAAACTTTAATTTAAGATAAAGTTTAAATATAAGATTTGCAATCTAATTTTTGGATAATTTAATTTCAAAAACTTCATACATTACATTTCAGATATTAATAAATTATGTTTGTTAGTATTTAGAAAACCTGAAAATTAAAAAAAAGAAGATAGGTTTCTTTGATATTTAACTTATGATTGAGTTTAGAATTGAAAAATAACCGCAAAGAAGGCATATATTGTCTCTTCATTTTTGTTTTCAACATAAATTTAAGTGAAAAACATTATCCCAAATAATATAATTTGAACAATTGCCTACTCATACCCGGCCCATGACTAAATACTACATTGCTAGTGATATCTATTGGGAAATGTTCATTCTTGTTATATGTGGCTATAATTACGTGTAACATTATCACAAAAAATATTTTAAATTATTGTGATTTGACCAATAACCGACTCATAACCCATCCAATGATTAAATACTGGATTGTTGGCGTCATCCAGAACTAACCAATGACTTTCAATAAGGTGGGAAGGGGGTGATGCAAGTTCGTCGTCATTGAAATAGAAGGGGGTAATTTTGTTTTCTTTTTGCTCATTTCAATTTGGATATTTTTATATTTTGAATTTTAGATGTTGATGGAAATTGGGGGGTAGGAGGTAGATGGGGGCAGGGGTTAATATAGCAATGACTTAGGGGGGGGGAGTGTATACGTCTCTTGACATATTGGCGCAAACAGACAAATGATGAACATTTTTGAAGTGTTTGTAATATTTTATAATAATCAATGAATTATATTAATTTAAATATTTTTGATTTTTAAAGAAAATTATGTAAAATTTTTTTTTTGAGTTTGAAAATTAAAAATGGGTTGAATAGTGACCACCCTTTATTGATGTCGGGATCTTTTAATTTGAATTTAAAAAAATTATTTTTATAGATCCTTAATAAATGAATCGTCCCTTTTGTTCTTCATTTGATATATATCTAATTTCGGCCATGGCTTGTAATTTTATTATAATAAGTTATGATCTTTTATCATATTCATATATTTTGTATATTATATTAATTATATCTCCTTCTCTAGCATTTAGAATATCATTTCAATATTTTTTGAGAATTATCATTAGATTTATGTGTTTTCTTTATATTTTTTTTGTAAAAAAGGCCCTTTCTGTTAAAATGAAAGTCAAATGTTGATTAATTGATATTTTATTCTATTATTTTATAATTCATTATTAAAATATATATGAATTGGCTTTTAAATAATAAAGGGATCTATAGATTCGTAATAATATCCATTTAAAAAAATAAATATTTGTCCTACAGGGGATCAGCCCAAAATAATATACTTTGTACTTTTGAAATTGAAATCATGAAAATTTTTTTGAGATGATATTAATTATGTTAAATAACACTAACTCTCAGAGACTTGGAGAAGATTATTTTCACGAGAAAAAGTAAAGAAAAACTGTTACTATCCAAGAATTTAATCCAAGGGAAGTGGTTTTTAATAACCTTGTTATCAAATAAAACCCTAATAATGTTGTTCCAAATAAAATTGAAAATTTAATATAAAGAGAGATAAATTGCTAATTATTTAGTTGGCATATATATAGCACACACGACATCAACTAATCTTAGGAATCAAATAAATAATTTAGTCATAGACGCTCTCTATAAAAAAATAAATGATTCCATGGTGGGAATAAGTAAGAGCCAAGTTTGATATAGGAATAAAATTTGTAGTCGTAATATTAAAAAAATATTAAGATTTATGAAATTTTTAGGAGATTCTTGAGGGATTTATAGGATTTACTACATTAGAATTTAGGGCATTATTGTTTTTGCTTGAACCGAAACCAGATGAGATAATGTGAAACCGGAGAGCTCTCACTTTATTTTAACAATCTTGACCTTGCAGGAGGATTGTCAGCTAGAATAATGGAATCAAAAGACAACAATTTAGGAACACGAGTTTATGTGGAACCGAATAACTCTGATGAAATAACAATAGACTGAGAATAAAGAATTCATTAAATACTTTGTGGAAATGAAGGAGCTAACTCTGATAATGAAAGGAGCTATAAAAGGAGAATAAAGTTAAAAATATAAGGATGTACTTCTAAAATAGTAGGAAAAATTTTTTTTAAAATATTAATCACTTATTTTTCCTATAAAATTTACATATTTAAAAAAGATTTTGTTTATGGTAACTCATTTTTTTAAAGAAATTAAATAGTGTAAGAAAAAATATTAAAATTATTTACTTTTAAAATTTATAATCAAAATGTCATCATAGTAATGTTATGATTATAATTGGTATAGACTGGTCAAAGTTTAGCATTAGGCTTTTATTTGCTCTAATTCATGATCTTATATTTTATAACACATGATGAAAGTAAACAGAAAATAAATTTAAAGGATATGATTACTTTTGGAATTCTTGTTTATGTCATTATGAAAATCAATTTTAAAATTCAAACAAAAGATTAGCCCCACTTAAAAGACATTTAGCATTAAAAATTTTGTTAAATTGGGCCATTTCTGTCTGATGTATTTTCATAATATTTTTTTTATATGAACTCATAAATAAATTGTTTTAATTAATTTTTTTAAAAATGATTAATAAATATTTCTTTTCATTTTAAGATTAAATTAATAGGCAAAAGCATTCGCCATTTTCACAAACAAATTATCGAAGAAACATCTCAATTAAAATTGCTCAAAATATCAGAGAAAAAGATTCCCATTTATAAAATTCTGAATGAGGATGGTAGAGTCTCTCCATCTGCTCATGATAAAAAGGTTACAAAAATATACATGCATAATAATAATTTTTATAGTTAGATAAAAATACACTAATTAAAATGTACCAAGATATGATTAAATTGAATATAATGGATAAAATTCTTTACGATAGTCAAAGGCAAGGTAGAATATCATTTTACATGACAAATAATGGTGAGGAAGCTTGTCAAATTGGTAGTGCAGCTGCATTTGATCAACATGATATGATATATGCTCAATATAGAGAAGCAGGTAATTGTATGTTTTTATGTAGTTCTGACAACCATCCATAAATAATTCAAAGATGAAATTAGCTTGATTAATCACAATTATGTAGGGGAGGGGTCCTCTGGCTTGATAAAGATTATTTCATGGGGTGTACCCAAAAGATAAAGGAAGGAGTAATGTAAAATAAATAAACAAAAATAACATTACAATATTTTATAAATATTAGGTTCTCTAAATCTAAAACATATTAAAGATCTGCAAAGCCTGGCTCAGCTTGTTCTAAACCCAGCCCACAAGCTAATAAAATTTAAAACAAGCAAGAATTTTTTAAAAAAAATATAATGAGCTGGGCAAAATATGCATAAAAATTTTTGGATTGGGCCAGACAATTTCTGCATAAAAAATTAGGCAGGGCCTCACAAACTCAGATTTGTAAAATTTTAATAGTCCAACCTGGAATTTATTTTTTAAATTTCAATTATTATTTGAAAATAAATTACTAGATGTTTTAATCTTTGTATAAGAGTTGTCATACTCTTAATACTAAATCTATAAATAATGTAGTTAATTCAAAAAAAAATAAACAGTTTATTTATGATATGATATAATTGTGCACATAATTGGCCAAACCTGGTAAAAAATTTATCAGGTTGGGCAATGTGAGAAAAATTTGTAATGGGCCAAAGTGCCCTTGGTTTTGGAGACTTATAATATATATCATAATTGCCATTATTGCTGAGAAGTTTGGATGAATTTCTTTTTATAAATGTTTTTGTTTAGATTCACTTATTATAGGCCTTTGATGGGTTTACATTTTTTAAAAATAATAGTTTTGTATTAAATAAAATAATAAAGTTTACCCAGGACCATGTTTATTTTTTTTTTTAGCCTACCCACTAAATGGTTATAAAATGTTTTATTGAGTTTTATATTTATTTAAATGAAATATGCAATATCATGAAATAAAAATTAATTTTTAATAGATATAAACTCGTATCACGTCAATACCGCGAAACTTTTTCCGCGAAATGCATTACCGCGAAAAGATATTATAGCGAATGCATTATCGCGAATGCATCATAGCGAAAACAGTATCGCGAATGCATTATCGCAAAAAAATTATCGCGAATGCATTACAGCGAATGTATGACCGCGAATGCATCATAGCGAATGTATTAGAGCGAAGACATTATCGCGAATGCATTATAGCGAATGTATTAGCGCGAATGCATTACAGCAAATGTATGAACGCCATCATAGCTAATGTATTAGAGCGAAGACATTATCTCGAATGCATTTTCGCGAATGTATTAGCGCGAATGCATTAGAGGGAATGCAATACCGCGAAATTATTATTGCAAATGCATTACAGCGAATATATTATCGCGAATGCATTATAGCAAATGCAGCGAATTCATTATCGCGAATGTAATATCATGAATTAATTATAACGTATGCAATACTGATTTATATTTGACAAATGATCCATATAATTAATATAAAGTATTAAAATTCTTTACTACTTATCCACTTAGTCCTTAATAAATAATTCATCTTTATTATGTTTTTATTTTTAAATATATTGGGAACCATAAATTTGTCACCTTTTGGAAATTCCTAGCTGATAATGTTTTTCCCGATCTCTATTTTTCTAAAGAAATTCTTTAAACTAACTAATTATATTGCAACTCATTTAGCAAGTTGAGACCTTTTTCAAAAAACGAGAAAACCAGCCTAATTGACGTTTCTATATTTATTTAACATAGCGTTTTTTAAATTTTTATAACTCTAAAACACGTCACTTGCTATTTATGAAGTTTCCTATCCTCAATTTTTTTTAATAATTAGATTAAATCGTTTTTTAAAAAATTTGAAATACTAATATTGGACAAAAAGTAATTTAAGACCCTCATTTATTTTTATTTATTTGAAAATAGGCTAGACGTGTTCCTATTATATTCATAAGCCGGACGCTCGCCTTTTTTCGTAATTATAAATTATAATGGAAAACACAAAGTATATCTAATCTATCCTTTTTTTCTTGAATGAACCTGACTAGTGTTGTTAAACGGCTCGTTTTGAGCCGATTTTTTAAAACGGCTAACTCAATATTTTAGGCCGAAAAATATTGCCTAAGCCTCGAGATTTCGATAATATATGTCTAAACCTTTGTTCCTTCTGTGAGCAAAATCTTCTTCAGGCCTGCGTAATATTTTTCTGGATATAATATTGAATTAGCCGTTTTTAAAAATCGGCTCAAAACGTTCCGTTTAACAACACTACCTGACAATAAACGTTAATTTGATATTAAGAGCCATATTTTACCAATTTTTTTTCAAGTTTGTAAGATTCAAAAGGTTGTAACCTATTACTTGATAGTTTGATATATGGAACCCGTATCTTGAGGTCTCTTTAAAGCTGTTGAACTGGACTAATATTCCACTTTCTTCTAGAAAATTCAGGAATTAAACTTCTTTCCATTTTTCTTCTCTTGGCATAATTTTATCATTATCAATTTACAAAATTACTGTATATGCTTATATTGTTAGCTTGGCATTTAATAATGAGATTTCTTTGATAATACTGAAATATTTTTATGTTATAGTTTATGATTTAGGAGAAATTTTTAAAAAGATGAGTGTCCTGACTACATTAAAATTTAAAATATTTTGAGATTATTAAGATACACAAAAAAATAGATTTCATAAAAAGAACGATGACGCGTTTCAGAGTTATAAAGATTTAAAAACGTAACGTTTTTTAGTCAACCGGTAAATAATCTAAATTTTTGATCTCATGATCAACTTTCTTCCAATAGTAAGGACTAGGGCTATTCGGCGTTTTTGTCAAAATCATCATAAGCCTGAAAATAATTGTTGTATCCCAACAAACTTTTACCTGAAGTTATAAATTATAAATATTTTTAATATTTTATTGATTCTAATAAAAGTTAAATTTTTCTCCAACAAGCCCCAAACCCGGGGCTTGTAGATTCCATTGGTTTATTAAGTCTCTTACATGGATGATTATAAAGATTATTCTTCTATTTTTTATGGACTATGTTTTATTGATATAATACATCATTTGCATCTAAATAATTCATATAAAAATGTCAAAATTGTCATAAGATTGCCAGAAATTTATAAGTAGCGTTATTAGCCTAAAAATCGGCTAAACCTAATTAGGCTTAGCCAAAAGATCGCCTGGCATTAATTAGACAAAAAGTATACACTGGGAGCTCGGCTAATAGCACGTCAAGGTTATGCAAAAATAAGCCTAGTCTTAATTATTATATATTCATATTTATTAAAATTATTATTATATAATTATTTTATATATATTTATTATGTAACGATATATTAATGAAGGACAATTAGAGCTCCTTAGCAGATGCCTAATTTTTGTCTAATTATTTCCCCCCTATTTTTATGCTAAACCGTTTTTGAATTTTCTAAAATTAACAAATTACTCAAAATTCTATACATATTGGTGTTTTTCTGGCAAAATCAGATTTTTAAATTTAATAAAACTCACTCAATTAATGATTTTAAATGTATATAATAACAAAAAATAAAACAATACTCATCGAACTAAAATTAAGTTTAGTTAAAAGATCACTAGAATACTGTATAATATTCATAGGGTAGGCACCAGGGCTGGCTGGATCAGTTTCTGTCGAAATCATCATAGGTTTGAAAATAATTATACCTTGGGGGTGGGTAACTTCTTTATATAAAAAATTTCCCGATTAAAGCAATATTTCTAATTCCCAGCATAACATAAGGATTTTCATGACTTACTATTCCTAAACTTTGCTAATATATTTTTTTTATAGGGCCTTGTTTTCGACTGTAGAAAGTGGAATCATAGATAATAAGTTCGCTTCTGCTTATTTAATTAATATAATATCCGTCTATGCTTGCTTTTAAAACTTTTTAATATCATCTTGATCGCAGGGGTATTTTTTGAGATAATAACGTGTCTATTTATAAAATTTTTGTTTTTAATCGCATAACTAGAATAAAGACCCATCAGAGTACCTAACAAGAATCAATAGGAAATCATTATTTTATTGTTATCTCAATTCCTGACTCACAATAATCGCAATTTCATCATAAGAGATTAAATGAATTAAGTTCTAAGACGTGTAGCCATTCAATTCTACAATCTACCTATGATGCTGAATATTGTTTCATGTCTTGTGATAAACTTTGGCATTGTCTTTTTGATTAAGCAATAAGAAAACACTTTATACAAATTTATTATCAAAAAATGCTTATCAAAATATTAATCCCTTACTAATTAAAATATAAATGATTTTGGTTCAATGTTTTAAATAAGACTTTCCTTAGCACCTTGCAAATTTAATTTATTTCAGCAGAAGCTCCATCAAAAATCTTTATTTATTTTAAATTCTAGGTCTTCCTGTCCCAAATTTAATTGAAAAATATAACGAAACGCATATTTAAACAATAAATTAATATTAAAATAATTTCTTTACCCTAATCCTAAAAAATCTATTTATTGCTTAGAAATTTTTTAATATATTTTGAGTTAAAAAGATTAAAAGCCTTAGCCCTATTTTCAAAAAAATTAATTTCCAGGTTCAACCACGTCTGTCTAAAGGCTGATAAATATAAAATTGTAATTTTCATCAAACTCCATTCTCGATATTGCAACTGATGTCATTCGCAATAATTCATTCGCTATAATGCATTCGCGATAATGCCTTCGCGGTAATACATTCGCGATAATGCTTTCGCGGTAATACATTCGCGATAATGCTTTCGCTATAATACATTCGCGATAACACTTTCGCGGTATTACATTAGCGCTAATGCATTCGCTATAATGCATTCTCGGCAATGCATTTATGGTAATGCATTCGCAATATTATTTTCGCTATAATGCATTCGCGATACTGTTTTAGCTATGATGCATTCGCGATAATGCATTCGCGCTAATACATTCGCTATAATGCATTCGCAATAATGTCTTCGCTCTAATACATTCGCTATGATGCATTCGCGATAATGCATTCGCGGTCATACATTCGCTGTAATGCATTCGCGAATGTTTTAGCTATGATGCATTCGCGGTAATGCATAAGCTATAATATCTTTTCGTGGTAATCGACATTCGCTGTAATGAATTCGTGATAATACATTTCACGCTAAAATTTTCGCGGTATTGACATGTAACCATATAAACTTGCTCTATAGTTTGAGTTGACCCTTCCAATTGTTTTAAAAATATTTTCAACCCACTTGCCTGGTGTATGATTTGCTTTTAGCCCACTATAGATGGGTTAGACTGCAGACCTTTAATTGAGATTGCCTAAGTTTAAGTTAGATATTTTTAGCTTTAGGTAGCCTATTAGTATCTAAAATATATATAGAAGTGTTTATGATATACCCCTCCCCTATCCTGCATCATGTATAGGTTCATCATTTCCTCCATAAAAAAAGTGCACTTAATCGGTGTATTTTCCGAGTTCCTGGAATGGAACGAGCTAAATTGAATCTTTCTCATAGTTTAATTTCTTGTAAATTGTATTGTTCGTTGGTTATATATGTAATTTACTGATGGTATGTTTTGTTTTGCAAACTGATATAAATCAACTGGCATTAAAATGTGTCCAGAATTGATGTGCTGACTTGAACGTGCTGCTAATCTTTTTAATGTTCTGCCAAGGCCGTCACATGGACCTTTTCCATTTTCAGCTAACCAAAATCTGATTCATGATAACATAGATTTATAAAATTTCTGTTTTTATATTGTGCAGCTGATCCTTCAGAGCAGTAATATATTTTGTTTGGCTTTTTGCTGAAATTGATTGGTCAAAAATTTTATCATTTTAGTTTGGTATAAATGTACTGCAATAACATCCTATTGAAGTAACTCGGATATTACCAAATAATTAAGGTTTTCTATATTGCCCTTATTATAATATGCTATCATAGGATGGATAGTGGCTTGATTATTATTCCAGTGGTCCTTGAACATTGTCTTGAATTATAAATGCACAATTTCAGAGAAATCACAAATTATCATAAATTCATTTGGTTGTAAAAAATATTTAAGTTTTTAAATATATGATTGATCGGTAGCGATGATAGGAATAAAAAAATAAAATAAGCTGATAAAATCGTTATTTTCAAATAATAACGATAGTAGATCCACAACAATGAAAGGATATATCTACAAATTATGGCCTTAGGCTAATAATAAACACAAAATTAATAGTTTTAATATAAAATTTTAAAATATGTTTATTTTACAATATAAGCATCAATAAAATAATATCTGCATGGGCTGCCTGCTTACATATCGCCCCAGGACATTATTCTTGGTTATACTCAATTGATTTTTTAATTTTAATCACAATACTATTCATATTTTAATTAAAAATTATATATTATAAAAAAATAATAATATAACATCTATATTACATTTTTTTATTTATAAAAATTCAAATAAAATTAAAAAAACAAAAATGGCTATCGAGATTTTTTATTAAATCGTTTAATATAAAGGTAATAAACATTTTTAGTGAATATTAACACCCAAAAAAAATCCCTTCCTAACAATGTTAATTTTTTTATTTTCAACGGAAATAAGAAAACACTTGAAAATTTTTAATTTTTTTTAATATTTTCCAACGTAAAATTTTAAGGGCTATAAAAGGATATATAATTTGTAACTCTATCTTAAGTAATTTTTAAAATAACAAGATTTAATGAAATCACGCACTTCGTGATTTTCGACTTTGAAGGCGTATATCTTTGGATCTGGTTGAGCTAGCAATCTAAAATTTTGATTTTATTAACATTTACAACATAAATAACTAACATGCCAAGTTTCATTCATTTTTGAGATGGTCGGCCGAAAATCTCGTTTTTTTGGTCGATTTGACATGGAATTACCCCATACGATCCTGATAATTCCAGAATAAAACTCTAAGATATTCTTAATATTCTCTCACGTTTCAAGTGTATTCAGACTCAACCGGCAAAAGAAAATAAAAGCTGTTTAAAATAAAATTGTGACTATAAATCTTTCCTTTAATTGAAAAAAAAATGTATCAATAAGTGGAATAAAAATATTTATTTTATAAAAATCTTCAATCGTAGATGCATCAATATTTAAGCGATTGGACTATCTAGAAACTACTCTAGGCTTAAAAATTTTAATCCCAAACATATTAGCGATCACCTTTACTTTCTCGTTATATTTACCAAATTAAATGATTTTTCTTTATTTAAAAATTATAAAAAATTAATTTTTTTTTTGGGATGAGATACCTTATTTAAATAACAAATTTTCACAAATTTTTCATTTACGAATTATAATTAAAAATATATATATATAAAAAACTAATAATATATTAAAAATGAATTAAAAAATATGTATGTATAAAAGGGAAATGAGATAAAAAAAATAATAAAATTTAAAAAAAAGGGTACAAATCACCCTAGAGAAGAGTGAATGCTTAAAAAATTGAATTGACATAAGGTAAAATCCTTCATTGGGATCCCCTGAAATCTGCCTCATTTTTTTTCCTATAGTTTTGAAAATTAATTAAAATTTTTATAACTATCTAATTAGTTTAACAATATAAATTTTATAATTAAATTTATAAATATCTAATTTAACTATATCAGAAAAATATATTTTTAAGCCATGTTATCATTTAAAATTGAAAATTCTTATCTGTTTTTTTAAATATATTTCATTTTGATATCGTATATATTATTTTATTTATAAATTGAAACCGTTTTTTAAATAAAATTTTCGGAGGTTATGGGGGGAGTTTCAATCCCCCCTTTGTCTACGCCACTGTTTATACTGAGTGTAGAAGCAAAATAAATGATGTTATAACATAATATTAATTATAACATCAACGGAGATAAAAAAACACAAATTAGAAAAAAAAACACTAATTAATGGCATAAAAATCCTTTCAAAAATATGAACTTATATTTTCAGTAAAAAGAATTCTATAGATTTTTTCGTTCTAGTGTACCTGGCAATCCTTTGAATTTATAAAAAAATCTTATTAAGCTTTAACCCCCCCCCCCCTTTTATGATTAAACTTAAATATATATTAAAATAATAAATTAATTGCAAACTTTAAAGGGAGTAACGGTATTGGTTGGTAGAGAAGCGCTATTATTAACAACTGGCGCCAAAGAAAATGTAAAATTACTATCAGGACCGAATCCGAAGGGTTTAGAAGGAGCAAAATTTAAGCTAGTGCTAGTATTGCCAAAAATTTTGCTAACTTTATCATCATCAATGGAATTAGTTAATAGAGTAGAAGGTGGTAGAGATTTATCTGGCATAGTGAATTGAAATGTGGGAAAAGATTGAAATATATTTGAAGATGGCGTGAATTGGAAAGGGCTAGCAGCTCCTATTTTGACGTCACCTAATCCATTATTATTAAATACAATAAAAAATAAATGATTTGTATGAAAATATATTAATATGGGTAATACTTTATTTTAAAATTTTTTATAAAGGATCGATATTTTTTATTTAAAATATTGTAAAGTACAGATTCAGAATGAAAAATATCATATATGTACCAAATTTTTACCTACGAATAATACTAGCTACAAAGTAAAAAGATTAATGCTTCAAATATTAATTTAAATCAAATTGATTTTTTATAAACCAATCCTAATATACATGTAAAAAATTTGGAATAAAAGTTTTAAAGCTTCTAGCCAGAGTTTGGAACAAGGCTTGGACTAAAAAGGTCACTGACGGTTCCAAATAATTTTTTATTTTAAAAACGAGTCCTGGCTCCGATTTTTAAATTTAACGCGGTCCCGAGGGTTTTTGTTCCATACTAGAGCCCTAAAAGTCGTACTGGGGCTTAAATTTAAAAATATAAAATTATGTTTTCGCTTCCATTTTATTTAACCTTATAAAATGCGTTCAATTTAAAATTTCGGGCCAGTTCTCTAACAAAAATATGGGACAAGCTTAAATAATAAAAATATTGGACTAGTTTAAAAAAAGAATAAACTCTAAAATGAATAATTGTATATTTTGCATAATATATATAAATTGGTTGTATTTGTTAGAACCAGTTCTGTTTCGAATTACCGTTTTTTAAAATGGGTTTTGATTCCAGTTCTTACAAATTTCAGGAGGCGTTCAAAATTCTGATTTTAAAATTTGTTTATAACTGTGCTAAGATCTCTTCAAAAATGTCTTTGATTATTTCATTGTAATTCTTCTATACTTTAAGTGTAAATTATGATAATGATAAAAAGTACAACTGAATCGGAAAAGAAGAGTGACGGCTAAAAGAAAACAAGAAGTAAAGGAAGCAGTGTAAAAATTAAACCATACATTTAGTTTATATAAAAATTAAGACGAAGTAAAAAAAAATCTAATGAGCACTATCAGGCAGGCTCAATTGCTTGAATTAGAAAATTAAACCAAATGCTCATCATAAAAAGGATAAAATTATTAATATAAATTATAGGATGAAAAAATAAATGTGGCTGAAATTGATATGGCGCTCTAATTATCATGGGATTAAGAAGAACAAACCTACCTTTATCAAGTGCCAGCGTATCGGAAAAAGATTTTCCCAAGCCAATCACATCCTTATCCACAACGACTAGGTCATCTTCTTCGCCTTCATTTTCCTCATCATATTCATCGTCGGAGGACGATGGTTGGGAAAGGTTTTCATATGAAGATTGGTCCGAATTTTCGTCAGCCGTTCCTTCATCTTCACTATAGAATTATATATTTTTTAAAAAAATTAAATTCATAGCTTAAGTGTTAAAAAACTCTAAGCCCAATTTTTTTTAAAATATCGCAATTATAAATGTTAATTAGGGATGTATTGATCAAATATTTTTTTAAAATATCGGGTATGGGCCAACATTTTTAAATTAATATCTGATAAGTCAAAATTGCGAAATTGAAATACCAATTGACTTTTTATGTAAATTTATTTTATTATTTTTGTTTTACTCTATAAATCATTATATAGGAACAATTTTCTCCATAATAATGTTGATATTATAAATTGGAATCGATCTCTAAAAACCGGTACACTTGTAAAGTTAAAACAAAAAAAAGAAAAGAAATCATTAAAATTTTATATTTTTTTCCAATTGTATCATAATTATTATTAGTAAATTAAAAAATTAGTTCGATGATTAAAGGATTTCAATAATTATATGAAGATTATGTTTTCGTAAAGGTGGCCCTCCTTTAGATTATCAATTTTTAAAAATATGTATAGGCCATTTTTAAAGATACCTGTAATGATTTGAAATAAAATAATTCTAACCTTAGTGAACCCAAAACATTTAACTTCTCTGCAGATTCAAGAAATGATACCAATTGTTCAATGCCAGCTTGGCCAAAGCAATTGCCTAAGATAAATAAAATTAAAATATTATTACAAGATATTTTATCCAGAATAGAGCTTAATTTAAAAAATCTTTTTTAAAAAACTAACCATTGAGGTTGATTTGTTTGACAGATGTCTCGACCATATTTTCTAAAATTTCAAAGGCTCCTTTTAAAGTGATTTCGTTATTATTCATTATCAATTCCTAAGCAATAAAATAATTATGCTACAATACAATTAGAAAATTATATTTAAATATTAATGATTGGCATATAAGAAACCAAATAATTTATAATATTATTAGATAAGGTTTTCTCAGAAAACCTGCAGACATCGGCATTTCAAGCCGAGCCCAGTCTTAGTTTTTTTAATTTTTAAGAATGCCCGGTTTTATAAAATAATATTTTTAAGCCTGATCCAGATTTGTAATTTTTTAAATTATAACATCTGAAAGTGAATTTCGGGGCTTGTAGGTCCCTGATTTTTCTGACAACAAAATAATATTTATTTAAGGAATTACTTTCAAATTTTCTGCACCTGATTGTCTAAAGGCCTTTGCTATGTAACATGCTCCTTTATCTTTAAGGAGACAGTCACCAATATTGACACTCTCTAATTCTGGTAAGGATATTAGAGCCTATAATATAAGTATATTTCATATGAAAAATAGATATAATATCAGTAATCTATAATGCACTATGTTCCAATTGAACTGTGCATAAACCATGATGAAATTTGCATAAAACATTGATAATTTATCCTTCTCTCAATCGACAAAATTTTATTGAATTATTTTTAGAATTGACAGATTTATTGATAAAACAGAAAGGGTCTCAGTTCAATTCGAACACAGTGTATACCCAAAACAAAAATGAAAGGGTGGGATATTCACTTTCCATCACATTTCCTAATTTAAGACTTTATTTAAAATTATTACTTAAATAGTAGAAGTGTACTCAATATACTTTATTCTATATCTAAAACAAAAAATACTTTGGATAAAGAAAAGGCTCCAAGATGAGTTGCCGTATTATCGTTAAGATTGATTACTTTCATATTAGAGTTAGAGACAAAGGCCTGACTTAAAGCTGTTATGCCTTCATGGTAAATACCATTCTGAGGGATACTAACAATTTCCAATGAGTGTAATGACTAAAATAAATTTATTAAAATATATTCAATTTTAGTTTTCTTGATAGATTTAAAATTAACACTTAGATGTTTGTTGGATAAAATTTTTTTTCAATTAATATAATATTAGGCTACAACATAAAAAAATGTTTTTTTGTCTTTTAATAAAATAATTTTATAAATTAAATTGTTTTACCTTGAATGACTCCGATAAAGCTTTTGCACCCTTATTTTCAAGTCGATTGCGACCAGCATAAAATTCTCTAAGAGAAAATTTTTTACCCATCAAGTGACAACGTTTTTGACAAGTTTTTAAGTAAGAAGCCAATACCTTATTTTTTATAAAGGTCATATTAACAACAAAATTTATAATAAAAAAATACAATATATTCAGAACTAAGCAATACTGATACTTCTTACCAGAGCCCTGCATTGACCTATCCAAGTCAGATTTATCTGAATTTGAGTTAGAGATTCAGACAAAATTCAGACTCAGATGGGTCTTGATTTTGTTTTGGATAAGCCAGACTCAGACCTCAGCAAAATTTTAAATGGTTTTAGTTTTAAAGATTTGGCAAATAAAATAATTAGGTTGGATACTCTCATAATATCGTAAGTTTCTTTTTTTTCTTTATTCTAAGTGTTATTAATTTCATTGGTGTTAGAAGATAAGAAGAGTTCTTATCATGGCTAAAATGTGTATATGATAATGCTATTCAATATGATTCGAACTTACAATCTTCTGTGAGTCAACAGTTATTCAAACTCTATTATAGTAATCAAAAAAAGGCTTTAATAGCTTGAAACTTAATTTTCCTAACCTTTCTGTTTCCTCTACACATATTGCAAAAACAAATATAATATTAAAATACTCTTTTCATTCAACTCATAATTTTATCCTATAATAAGCACCACCCTGGATAACATTGGGGAGACCTTCATAAAATTTAAAAAAATACCAAGCTGATGGAGGTTTCATAATTGGATAAAAAATGGAATAGAAGATGCCAGTCTAATAAAATAATGTTTTACATAATATAAATGTTTTGATGTTTAATGGAATGAATAAATTGTATCAAAAAATATAATAAATCCATTAAAATGGATCATACATTTTAAAGAAATAAATAAATTTGCATTTCTATTTGACTGGTTCCAAAATTGATTATTAGAAATTTAAAAATGTGTTCTGATACCTATACCCAGATTCTGGTTTCAAGCTAATTAAACACAAGCTGAAAAAGAATAATTTCTACTTAATATTCAATTTTTTTTACCTGACAATAAAATAATGTTTATTTAGAATTCTATTAAAGATATAAGTGTTATAAATTTATACAACAAGGAGCCTGCCCTGACTGATAGAAAAATAAAAATTTGGATCTGATATATCTACATCTCCAAATTTTATGCATGAAATTATATTTTTAATACATATAGATGATTTTTAAATATAACTAGGGTTGTGCCGTATTAAATCAGGGGCAATATTTATTATTTATAATAAAATTTGGATTGACCTAGTATTAAAAAAAATTGAATTAATGTTTTTATTATTTTTAAATTATATAATTTTTTTATTTTATACATAATTATCTAATAGAAAATATTCAACAAGTCACAATCATCAAATTTCCCATATTTTAGATGAGATGTTTAAGTATTGGAGAATAAAAAACAAGCACTTAATTATTCTTGAGAACACCACAAATATAAGCTTAGTAATGAGAAACAGAAAATTTAAAGGTATTTCTTGTTTTGGCATATTGATTTTTTACAACATTGGTAAAAGATAGATGGTATTATCAATCAATTGAATTGGTTTTATATGCATATCAGAAAATTGGGACAAAAAATAATTTGTGGATCAGCATAGCCTTAAATGTTGTTTAAAAAATTAAATAAATTTAGAATAATCAAATATCACTCACTTTACCACCTTCAATTCCCATGCCGTTATTGTTAAATTTAAGGACTTGTAAATTATCAGATGCCTCATTGTCAAATAATAATTTTATAGCTATTATACCAGCTGGCCCAAAAGCATTATCACTTAAATCTAACTCAATAATTTTTGATCCAGATTGTATTATTCCATTAAATAATGATTGCTAAAAATTAAGAAAAAATAGTAATTATTAATTAAAAGTATTACCAAGGCTAATGGAATTTCAGATTTTAAACGTCCAGTAAATATATCACTCCAATATAGTTTCTTAAATTATAATGTTTATATACATATAAAAGAGCAAACTTTCAAATTTTTTTGTTTGGACAAAGATTTGGAAATTGCATGTGCTGATTTAACACCTAAACTATTACCACTTAATTTAATTACTTCTATATCATCATTATTTTCCAAAATATCTATAATTTCTTTAGCTTAAAAATTATTACTAGTGATATAAACATGCATAAAATACCATCGGTAGCTGAATCTAATTTTAATCCTTTGTTTAAATAGTTTAATTCTTTTGTTAAACCCATTAATAGATATTTGTCTACTAGTTTACCAAAAATCAGATGTGACACCATCATAGACAGTTCGCATGAGAAATGGACATATTTATAAAATATTAACGTTAAGTTAATATAGTAAATTAATTATTTTAATATATGATAAATTCATGAAATTATAGATTTTATAGTGACTACGTGATATGAAGAAAGTTTTGTGATATTTACAAATTTTATTCATTCATATTATATTTTTCTCACTTATTAAATTTATTTGTGATCAGTACACATCAATTGCGGACAAGCTTGTGTAATAAATTAAAGAAATATTATTTATAGATATTATATAAAAAAATAGAATAGAATATTCGAAAATTAATTAATATAAATTTGATGTTAAAAATAAATTGAAATATAAATTAGTAGTCGTATTGTTTATAAATTAGTAGTTGGTATTACTACAAATGGCGACGATAAATGGAGAAAATAATTCCTTAAATGGAGATTCAAAAAAAATAGCGGATTTATCTACGATTAAATTTGATAAATTCGAGTTGGACACTTCAATCCACAGATATTTTTCTCAATGGGAAGCCAGTTTTCGGTTAAAAAACGTAAGCCCATCTGAATGTCAATATAAAGATATATTTTTAACATTTTTTGGCAATAAGAATATTGAGTTGGTGGACCGTTTTTGTTATCCTGATTCGATCGAAACTTTATCTTTTAAGGAAATTAAGTCAATATGTTTTAAACTATTTAAACCGACGTCAACAGCTTTTGCTTCTAGATTTGATTTCGTTAGATTACGGAGAACAACTGAAACCATAACTGAATTTGCAGATAAAATTAGAACAATTGGCTAGCGTTGTCATTATCTTAATGATATTGACGAGCGTTTACGTGATCAGTTTATGGTTGGCAGCGTCTACATGAGCGGGAGGGGTAGGAACAGTTTGCATCCTATTTTTTTGAGGGGGTAGGGGGTTAGCTGCTTTAATGAGGGTATGATAAATTTTTTGGTGGGTTATCTAATAAATTTTGAGATTAAATAGGACAAAATTTATTGCTGTAAAAATTATACTTTTATTATAGTATTATTATAATACAATTCATCGACCAAATCTATATATTGCAAACAATCATACACATTGTTTTCCAAATAAACTATCCTTTTAAATGTAATTTAAAAGGTTTAGCTATTTTAGCAAGCTTATATTGCCATAATAATTAATTCATTGTAAATAATGGAGGTTTTAATTGAATTTATTATCTAAAAAATAAATTCTTTATTATCTAAAAAATAAATTCTTTATTATCTAAAAAATAAATTATTTATAATCACAAAATATAGATAGTTGTTAGTAGAGATAGATTAATTTAAGTTATCCTTTATAAATTCTTTGAAAAGAGTATCAATAAATAAATAGGTGAAAATAATGAGAAAAAGACACCGCCGCCGAAGGTGGCGAATTTTTAGGGGGTAGGCAAAGGTTTTTGAAGGGGGTTTGCATCCAGTGAAAATCCTGTCATGTAGACGCTGATGGTTGGCATGGAAATACCGGGATTGGAAAGAGATCTTAGAGCTCTATATCCCGACGGTCTTGATAGAGATAATAATGTACTGACTTTTCAATTTATTCTTGATCTGGCATTAGCTTCTGAGCGAGCAGATAAAGAAATGGCAAATAAAAATATGCCTGTTATTAATAAGATAAATGATAATAAAAAAAGAAATGATAATGATAATAATTATAAACATCTAATTAAAACGACGACTACATTTGATAATAAATACAAATATAATAATGATAAAGATTATAATAAACTTAAATGTTATAAATGTGGTTTTATTCATAAACGAGAAGTGAGATGTCCAGCTACAAATGCGGCATGTAATAAATGTAAAAAAATTGGTCATTTTGCAGTTTGCTGTAAATCAAAGAATTTAAATTATATAAGAGTGTCATCAAGTGATTCTATTCATAATATTTGGAAGATTCAACAAAATCGAGAGAATCGAGCAAAACTAACTGCAGAGATAAATGGGTTATATGTTGAATTTGATTTTGACACTGGTGCACAAGCGTCATTGATAGGAATTGATATATGGACAAGTATTGGGCGACCAAAAATTAGGCCAACCAGTCCATTGACTGCATATGGTGATCATCCGTTAGACGTTAAGACCCAAGTCAATGTTAGGATTGGATCACAGACAAGGACTCTACCAGTGGTAATAATGAATACAACTGGGGTGCCTCTTTTCGGATTACCATGGATTATAGCATTCAATTTAGAAATGCCTCGTCATGTTATGATTAAACAAGTACGCAATTTGGTCAACAATATTGAAAAAGAAAAATGTTGCATAACACTAGATTCTAGAATTCGAGATTTGATTAATAAACACCAAGAAATTTCGGAAGAGAATCAAGATTCTAAACATGCTTTGGATATTCGAAGTATTAATTTGGATGATATGCAATTGTCAGAAAATATTCTGCGAAAAGAGTCGAAGCAAGATTTAATATTAAAAAAAGTAGCAATACATATTCAGCAAAGTTGGCGAAACTTTGATCGTCATAAAGATAAAGAAATAGTTAATTTTTATAATCGACGGGAAGAGCTTTCTGTCAATCGTGATATTATAGAATGGAATGGGAGATTGGTTATTCCTAATAAATTAAGAAATGCAGTGTTAGGAATAATTCACTGGGGACATCCTGGTGAAAATGTAATGAAATCTATTTTTAGATTGTATTGTTGGTGGCCCATATGTGATGTTGATATATAAAATTTTATCAAAATATGTTCTGGATGCCAGAAAAATAGACCATGGTTAGAAGTTGATCTAATGCAGAATACCTCTGCTGATGCTATGATAAAACGACTAAATAAATGGTTTGCTAGGTTTGGAATACCCAAGTACAGTGTGTCAGACAAAGGACCACAATTCTTATCAGGGGAATTCCGTAGGTATTGTGATTTAAATAATATACGTCATATACGTTCGGCACCCTATCATCCAAAAACTAATGGATTAGCTGAACGTACAGTACGAACTTTAAAAGGTCATGCGACGAGAGATTCAATTAGCGATCCCGAAGAAGCTATGACACAGGTTTTAACAACCTACCGATTGGGAGAGCATAGTTCCACAGGGAGATCTCCTGCTAAAATTACGTTTGGGAGGCAATTGAAAACAAGTCTGGATTGGATCCGACCAAATGCCGAACACGAAATAGTAAGGGCCAATGATAAAATATGGTTAAATAATGAAAATACCAATGGTTGGAGAGAGGGAGTAATTAAAGAAAGAATAGGACTTTATTCTTATATTGTTGAATCTTCCGGGAAAACATTACGGAAGCATGCAGATCAGTTAAGAAATCGTTTAGTTATCCCAAATCATGAAAGTTCTTTGGAAGTTACAGAAATGGTTGTGCCAGTGAATGAAGCAAATACAAACACAAATACAAATACCACATTACGTTGTTCATCAAGAAACCGTAAACCTACAAAGAGGTTTATTGAAGAAATCTAATTTTAAAATGTTTGAAGGAAATGTAATAAATTAAAAAAATATTATTTATAGATATTATATAAAAAAATAGAATAGAATATTCGAAAATTAATTAATATAAATTTGATGTTAAAAATAAATTGAAATATAAATTAGTAGTCGTATTGTTTATAAATTAGTAGTTGGTATTACTACAGCTTGCATATTCCATATTCTTTAGAAGGTATTAGGGTCCAATCTTTAACGTGTAAAATGTAGGCTTTTTGACATTTTTCTCGGAAAGAAATTAAAATGTAAATCGGTGCAAATATATTTAACTAACGCTTAATATGCATTTTACCCATTTGAACCTAGTGGCTATTCTTTTTATAATATCATTTACTTAAAAATATTCTAGGTTATTATAATAAAACGACTACGACTACTTATTAGTTATTTTTATTTCAAAATAATCACATCAAATTTATTAATTAATTATTTCGAATGTTCCATTCTATTTTTAATATAATATCTATAAATAATATTTTATATGATTTATTACATTTCCTTCAAACATTTTAAAGTTAGATTTCCTCAATAAACCTCTTTGTTGGTTTACGGTTTCTTGATGAACAACGGTAATAGATTTTATTACATTTCCTTCAAACATTTTAAAGTTAGATTTCCTCAATAAACTTCTTTGTTTGTTAACGGTTTTTTGATGAACAACGTGATGCGGTAATAGATTTTATTACATTTTCCCCAGGATATCCCCGGTGAATAATTCCTAACACTGCATTTCTTAATTTATTAGGAATAACCAATCTCCCATTTCATTCTATAATATCACGATCGACAGAAAGCTCCACCCGTCGATTATAATAATTAACTATTTTTTTATCTTTATGACGATAAAAGTTTCGCCAACTTTGCTGAATGTGTATTGCTACTTTTTTAATATTAAATCTTGCTTCGACTCTTTTCGTAGAATACTTTCTGACAATTGCATATCATCCAAATTAATACTTCGAATATCCAATAAATGTTTAGAATCTGGATTCTCTTCCGTGTCTAATATCGGAAGCCTTGATAATGCATCGGCGATTACATTTTTATTACCGGTTTATATTCTATTGTAAAACCATAAGAAGCCATCTTCCAGGCCCAACGTGTCAAACGATTATCGTAAATTTTAGGTAAATTGCGTTTCTCCCCAAATAATCGCTCTAATGGTTTATGATCAGTTCGAAGTAAAAATTTTCTACCATAAATAAATGAATGAAATTTTTCAATACCAAAATCGGAGCGTAGTGTTTCTCTGATTTTAATAAAGTACGTGACGTGAACGAAATAGCGTCTACTAATTGATGTAACAACACAGTCCCTAATCCTGAATCAGATGCGTCGCATTCCAAACTTATAGGCAACTGCGCGTTATAAGGAATTAACGTTTCCTTGGATGACAATAATTTTTTAACCTCATCGAATTAATTTTGTTTATCTTTCGACCACCGCTAAGGTACTTTCACGCTCGTTAATATATGTAATAGCGCCGCTTTACAATGTAGATTAC